AAATCTTAAATATCTAGACACATCTAAAAATTAAAAATTTCGGATCCTGGCCTTAACGTCTTTGACATAACGGATATGATGCATCTCGACTTTCGTTGATCCGCAAAGAGCACTTTTTAGAACATGTGCTCTTTGCGGATCAAAATTGCGGATCAAAATAAATCCTTGTGACCAAAATTTGGTCAAAGGATTTATTTTGAATTCAGAACATGCGGGGAGGCATGCCCGGAGGGCGGGGCACTGTCTGACCGCATGCTTTCAAAAATTTAAACTTTTTAGATCCAAACGATGGGACACATTCACTTTTTGCATTCTAGTACTTTTTTGCTCTATCTACTTTGCTAAGAGCATCTACGTATCTATATATGTAGTGACATAATTGATTACATTTTAGACATAAGATTACGACAGTTAATGGTGTACAAGTTTTCAGGACATCATCGTCGAATGAACATTTGGTGGTTAGTTGTAAATGATTTTCAAGTGAAACATGCGAAAGATCATTCATATGAGATGTCTTGGAGTGAAATAGATTATAAAATCTACATGTCTTCCGGTGGAAATAATAAAAGAGTGTTCTAGTTAAAGTTAAAAAATTTAAAAAGTTTCTTAAGATGACTAAAGATAAGAGATATAATGGGACCTAATACCTAAGACATAAACATATTTCAAGAATGGTAATCTTTTTTTATTATACTCAACTTTCTTTGGCGCTATAGCTAGCTGAGTACAATCGATCTAGAGCGCCGAGGAAAGCTCCACATGAACAGATAATTTCAATTGGCAAATTGTATTGGAATTATTACTCATTTTCTATGTGATGGTAAAATCCGGAGGGAAAGATAAAATCAACAGAACCAAAGTGGAGGAACCATTACAAGAATGGCTGATTGCATAAGTGATAGAAAACTCTACTTTGTAGCTCCATCAAGTTGAATCTAAAAGTGCACCCGAATAGCCCGACCATAGACCAATAAGCATAAGGCAAGCCTAGCATTTAAATTAGAATCTGGCAATATAAGTGATTTATTGTGTTCAAAATCTGCTTACATGTACAAAGTCCATTCGTGCTTTCTACTCTTTAATTCACATCTGACATAACGCTAGAATCGTACAAAGATATTTGCACTAGCACCAGAGTCATCGGTGCACTTGTCACGAAGCCGCAGAAGAGAGGTTCCTCAAATTCTCAACGAGAAGCTTCCAAAAGCATGGAAAACTCCATCGAGCCGTACATGAACGAAACCAAAGAAGGAAGACTTGACGAGCCCCAAAGTTCAGGAGTGTTAGAATGAATTGGATTATTCGAGTCGGTGCTTCTGAATGTAAGACAGAATATACGGGCACAAAAACGTGCCAAGAAGGTGCAGGTCCCTTTTTGTTATTTTCCTCATTGTTATTATTATAATGCACGACCAGAAGTGGACGTGGTCGCAAGAGGCGTCAAACCATTTCTCAGTGTTTCAAATAATTCGCTAGATCTCTATTCCAAATCACAGTCGTGGCGACCAAGTGTTGAGCCGAGTTCACACAATCCACAAGAATCACGTTTCTCAAAAGTGAACTCTTTGCTTCACTCTTGGCTTCACTCTCTCAAGACAGATATCGTAGATACGTGCGCCGAAGAGAATTTTTTTTTTTTTTAATAGAGCTGGAACATGGGGTGCAAATGAAGCAGAAACAGTTCGGGAAGGATTGACTAGAAACTAACGAGGACACACTGGGCCCAAATGCAAGTAGGGTGCACGCCTAATCTGATTGGTCAATCCTCATGGAGAGTACTGTAATTAGTACTGCGATCCTGATGAGAATCTGTAATCAGTGTTGTGTTGCTTAGGTTAAGGTGAATATGGCCTTTTGGTAACTGCTACTGTAACATACGGCACCACGAATGTGAATATTTCAGGGTGAGATCCTTCTTCATCTGAAAGCTCGATAATTTTCTTCGTACACAACACAAAACCCTTTGACAAATGACTCACCAATCGCTAGCTCTCAAACATCTTACAATGCTTAAGAAGTCTTTACAGACATCTCGTCCCTTAAGATTACCTTGCTTCGAAGCTACCGGCAATCTCAACACATACTACGGGTATCTCGAGGAGTGTCCAGCCTTACCCTCGAACCCAAGATGTGACCTGAGCTAGCAAGGAACCTAGAACGCGCAGTCACTCGGTCTCAAACATTCAGGTGGAAAGAATCTGTTTGTAGTATTTGCTCCAGGAGAGCTGCTTGAGAATTCACAATCAGGATAATTCGTCTGATGTCCATAACGGGTACGGTTCTGGGAAATTGATCATGATGCAGACACTGTGTCTTGGTTTCATCATGATCTAAGCAGACGTTCATTGACAATGCTACGGATGGGGAGCATATATATGCATTTATCGGATCTGGTCTTGAAATCTAACAGACGGAATCTGACAACTTGCTGGACCGAGACTCGAGATCCGAGTCACTCTTCATTGACCCCGAATGGAAAATCTCCACCTCTTTGCTTACTAGCTCGGAGGAGGAGCATGAGTAGGATGAGGAATTCCACACAGTTGCAACCCGCACTCGTAGTTGACTGCACACTCACTTTACGAGAGAAACCGCCCGAGGAAATGAAAAGGTGACATCCAGATCAATTGTATTAAATACGATAACGAGAGTAACGACTTCTCCTTGTCATCTCCAGGTACCAGTTGTCCTGCTACGAATAAGCGTTGTACGTACTGATGACTGTCGAAATCCATGGAGTCCACTTGTGCATAGTCATTTCTCCTGGCCGACCTCCACTTGACATCGGGTAGTCTGAGGCCGTGAAGAGGAGCCAAAGGCTTCGAGGTAGATTGCCATGAAAGAGAGCAGCCCATCTGCATGCCATCTCCAGAGTCGAGCAAAGTGCGGTGGTTTTTCGGTGGGCAGTAGAGATGGTGGCGGCCCCTACCATCGAATGGAATAGTCCGGATAGGCTGACATTCTGTCGTCACTCTGTTCCCGCTGATTGTGCTTGTTGCCAGCTCTGCCTCACCACAAGGACTATGACTCAATGGATCCAAGATGGATGGATGATTATGTACTGGAAGATATTAACCGCCTTGGATCCCTGCATTCCAAGACGATTGGACAATTTCATTCACGAGTCACGAGCTTCCCAGTTTCTTGGAGCCAAGAGAATCAACAATCTACTCCGAGAAGAGTTCAATGATGCAGAGTGGACTTTTTATCCTGATGGATCTTCATCCGATTCTTCTCCTCCCGTGGCAGAGTTGGCCTAGAAAGACTGTCTAGCTTTCCCGCAGGTGTGTACGCGGGAAGCCATCCAATGCAACACAAATAAAATCTTCGTAGACGGATGCAATTAATTTGGGATCTGGCGAAAGTGGATCCACGTATAGATTGTATTCTGGACCACCTGAAGCTGCTAAGGTAAGGATCGATCGACTGTATGCATCGACTGATCCCCGTCCCATCGTGGTGTGCATTAAGGCCGGGAGCATCATGCTCCTTAGAACATCGATTGCAGATCCGTACCGCAAATGAACTGTCTGCGGATATATACGAAGAGAAGTACGTACCAAAAGACCAATTTCTCAACGGACGCTCGTGAAGCGCGTGGCGAAATGAGTGATGCATTCGGAAAGCAAATTGGTTGACTTCTGCAACTTTCCTCAGAATTTGGGAACTATGAAATTTATGGCCTTCTGGAAAGTTTCTCATGATTCAATCACCGAGTCCATCTCTTAGACTGTTAAAAGCTCATCTACGAAACGAGCGCGATGCTCTATTCGTCTACGAGCACGATAGCTTGTCGGTGGAAATCAGCCGAGAAATTTATGGAGTTCTAAGAAGGTGACAGAAGCAGACCCCATGGTTTTGCAAGGACACGACCGCCGCAACCACATTAAAAAACAAACCTGCGTGCTTAGGAAACTGAGCACACCGTTCGTCGGGAATCTTTGAGGACGACTTCCGAGCGCACAGGTGCTCTGGAACTGGAAAAGGATTTGACAGCAGTACACTCTGGGAACAGTTTCCATATCCACAATCGGCTGGCTGGACATTGATCGACACGACCAATGTCCTACCGGGTGATGTGACTAGTGCGTGTCGGTGGGCAGAGTGAAGCCAGAGCAGAAAGGTTCTCTTCGATGGCATTCGAAATCAAGTTCGACTCACGACCATCTGCGTTGCATTTCCTTCACCCATCGGAGGCTTCAATTGGTCGACAGCATGATGACAGGATTTTTGGAAATCCTCATGTGTTCCACGTTTGTCAATCGTCGTTTACCAAAGGATATAAAGGTAAACGGAAATATCAGGTGCCCCCTCCTTTCGCTTAAGGGCAAGCGACAGAGGTGCTCGGGTGGATCACGAGTCTGGATATCGTCGCTAGAGTCTAGACCGCATGATTACCAGATACTGCCAAGAGCAGGAATCCGCGGAATGCCATCTTTGTCGCGATCTCCTAGCTGGAAAGGAGGAGCCATAGATTTCTGTTCATCATTGTTCCTATTCGGTAATCATTAAGTGCGCAAGTGATTTTCAAAGTCTGAAGTCTGTAGAGCGCCGAACCGGCTCATGAAAGGATGAGAGAGCCTGTCACCCTAAAACACACCACAATCTAACGATGCCGATGACGAGCTGCTGGACACACAGAGCGGCAGTGTCATCGATATTTCGCCGCATTCTTCGAAGATCCGAGCTAAGTTTAAGCTGACCGCATCACGAATTTGATTGCAGGATTATCTTGTGGTTGGTCGAAATGATCACAGATCGGCGATTCTGGACACACTGGAACTGCAGTAGCACTAGAGTCGGATCCTTGTAAGATTGAAATACACCGAGATGCTAGAAAGTTCATAATGATGAAGGTCTCCATGGGACCCGTGCAGAGAATCGGCAGCGGGAACTATGGGCCAGACACAGAAAAATCAACGCACATCACAGCTACAACCAATAGCACTGGTGCGACTGGCAGACATACGTCCAGATCCACACTAAAATTGGATGAGTCCAAAGCGAGTCCATTCATTACAAGTCTGCAAGGATCCGAGTACAGAGTAAGCTAATAATAGGTCAACGAACTGCGGAATCTCGTGTGAAGAGATGCCTGGATTTGAATAAAATGTCTGTTGTATATTCTCGACGGATTTCAGAACCTGGTACAGTCCTCTCTCCTCAACCGCGAGATCCTACCCCTGAACTCAGAAACAGAAAAAGGAAAGCAAAACCACTATCGTTGGCTGTAGAATCCACGGCTTGTAATTTTCATTTCATTACGAGCTTCGTTAGAGTCGTATGACGTCGATCGAGTTCGACAATTTCTAGCTCCCTGCCTCTCGAGCTTGCGCTGTCTGAGGACAAAGTGGAATCATATTCTAACTGGCCATGTAATTGCCACGGAGAGTTCAAATGAAGTCCGCCACCTTCCATGTATCGGAATGAACGAACTGCAAACCTGTGGATTGGACTGTCTGTCTCTCATTCTCTCTCTTCTATCGTTCCTTGCTCCATAATCCTTCTACAGTATTTACGATCGATATTAGAGTGGATGGATGAGCTGCTTTAAGCTAAGCTGTCAGAATCACTCACGTATGCACAGGAAAAAAAACACTAGTCGTTTATCTGAAAAAATCGACAGGGGAATGGGGGGCTGCGGGAGATTTATTGGCGTCCACAAATTCGACCGTACTAGCACATCGAAATTCTGAAAGGCTTAAGTCGACTCAAATTTCCACCACCCGAGGCCCATTGGTGTACCGCGGGCGTATAACAGGCAACCGGATCGATGCAAGGAGCCGAGATCGATCGTCAGGAATCCATCGAGCAGTGCATGCCCAGCCAGGTACTGGAGATATGAGCAGGGTCAGAGGCCCCCCTGATGGTGGTGGAATCGAGCCCAGTGTACTGTCTAGGAAGAACCACCGTATGCATGGGAGCCGGGAAAGAGTGCTACCGCTCGTAGGGTGTCTGGAAATTGTACACTGATAATCTCAGATATATTGTACAAGGTGTGCCAGCTTCGAACTCCGTATGTAGCTGTGTGTGTAGTGACTGCACTGCACCCCTCGGTCTCGCGTCTCTGGCTACACTTGTGCAATTACCGCAGGCTCCACCACTTGACAGGCACTGGAATGGAGCATGCAGAAGGTTTTCTGGATCAGGTGCTTGGCGAAACCGAGGCCGGGAGAATTGTGGTCCGGGATGTTGTCCACGTGCACCCAGAAGCTGGCACCCACCATGATGTAGCAGAGGATGAGCATGAGGCCCTTGAAGTAGTTGGCAGTGCCATCCTGCAGCATGACGGTGACCACCACGACAGTGATGAACAGAGTGACGGTCTCGAAGATTTCGAAATTCAGGTCCATATCGATCCCGAAGGCCCAGCCCACCAGAACGCAGAAGGGAATGACGAACATGGAAATCTGGGTCGACGATCCGATGCCGACTCCCAAAGAAATGTCCAGCTTGTCCTTCATGGCGAACACCACCGCACTCCCGTGCTCGGCGGCATTTCCCACCAGAGGCAGAATGATAACGCTGATGAAGGCGACGGGAATGCTCCACATCTCTGCAGCTCCTTGGATCGCATCCACAAGGTACTCGGAGAGGATGGAGATGAAAAACGTGAGGATGCCGAGCCAGATAATTGAGCTCCAGAAGGTGAGCACGGACTCCTCGGGCTCACAAATCTCCTCGGCCTCGCCGTCTTCAGTCTCGTACAATCTCCTGTGGCTCTTGAGCTGGAAAAAGAGGTAGAATCCGTAGGCCAGGACGAGCACGATGCTGATGAATCTGGACAGAGAGAGCTCGGATGTGTAATTGTGGAGCTCGGTCCCGGTGGCGTGTAGCACTGCTGGGAATAGCAGGCCCATGCACGCCATGAGAAGCAGGCTGGTGCTCACCACGGCCACTTGCTTGTTGAACTTTTGATCTTTCTTGGAATGGGTCAGACCTCCTACGAAGAATGCGCAGCCCAACACGAGCAGCATGTTGGAAAGAATGGAGCCGAGGAGAGAGAGCTGAACCACGCGGATCATTCTCTTCCGCAGCGCAAAAATGGAGATGATCATCTCGGTGGCATTGCCGAATGTGGCATTGAGCAGCCCTCCGGCCGTGGGGCCCGTGAAGAATGCCAGCTGCTCGGTCACGTATCCCAGGCGCTCGGCCAGAGGCGCAATGGCGATGAGGCTCGAGGCGAAAATCCACCCGCGGCCCAACTGCATCTGCACGGCGATGAACGTGAAGGGTATGACGAGAAACAGCAAGCACAGCTTCGTTCCGCACACCACCTCCCGCATCCCCAAGATCACCTGCGGCGACACATCCCGACGGAACGATCGACAGCAATTGTCCAATCGCCGGGCCAAACCCCCGCCTCTGTGAGCCTCGTCCGCACCATCGGAAGCACCGGTGCTCTGAATTTCCTTGGCCTTCCGAGTCATCAGGGACGGCGAGCTCCCATTCCTCGAAACCTTGCACTCATCCTCCCGCTGATTCTGCTGCCCGTCACTGTCACAAATCTTTCCCTCACCGCCCCCTTCGCACATCGTCACCTTCGGCTCTTGATCGACAACGACACCACCACCATCACCACCACCCACACCAGTATTGCGCCCGACGGTGTCCATCGCTTCCTTCGACGCAAACTTTTCTCAATTTAAATTATCGACAACGTGAGATTATGCTGGCGGCAGCCGATCCACCTGGATGGAGGATCCGGTGCCCCCCCACCCCGCCCCGCCCCAAAACAACGACCACGACTAATGCTTGTCCGATGAGCAATCCACATGCACAGTCTATCTACCACCTCCCCCTTCTGCCTTGCCGCTGTTCAGTTGGCATTAGCGATATCTGCTTGGCAGTACAGTACCCCAATCCTGCAGTGATTGGCATGAGTAGATGCTGGGGCACCTCGGCAGTCTCCAGCTTGACGGAGATTGAGAAATGAGAGGGACAGAGAGCGGGGGAGGAGAGAAGAAGGAGAGAAGGAGATGGAGGGCGAAGGAGAGAAAGCGATGGAGAGAGAGAGAGAGGGAGTGAGAGTGAGAAAGTCGGTCAACGTGAAGCCACGGACGCAACCTTTCGCTGCATGCCTTGCAGACTGTGATCACCTTGCAGATATGGATTTTTTCATGACATGCCTTGCCGACGACAAAACAGAGAGAAAGGAGGCTTTCTCATCTTCGTGACGAAAGCTAATCGTGACAAGCAACACTAAGCAAGAAGCCAGCCTCCTGGTAAAGGCCGAGCCTTACCTTGCTTCTTGAATCACCCCCGGCAAAGGCAATGACTGACCTCGCCGGACCTCGGCTCTCCAACATAAAGGACACGCGCTCAGCAATGGGCGCCGTCGCCCTCGGCCTCTCTGTCAGGAGGCCACATATCACATTTCGGTCGATCCACTTTCCCAGGCTGATCTGCCGGGCCTTTAATTCCCGCCTGTCGTATTCCCTTCCTGATTTTCCCACCCAATAACCTTCCACTAGTCCCGAATCACTGCCCATCCGCATCACATATTGGCTCACGAAATGCTCTAATTTGCGTCTCTGGAAATTTCTGTGCCCTACTTACGCCGATCCCACTCAGCCCAGGCTCCGCTCAGCTGACTCAAGTCACCGACCCCCTCAACTGGGCAGCATGAGCATGGGGCTTGCCCTAAAGCGAGGTTGTCAGCACCCGTGGGAACCTCAATGTGGGGTTGAGAGATGGTGGGAGTGAATCAGTGAGTTAGCAAGCCCGGTCTGGAACACCCGAATTTGCTGCAAGTGGTGCGCTGCTTTGTCAGTTTCAATTCGCTCTATAACAGTTGCTGTATGTTTCCTCCGGGTCTGGGGAGATTTGGCTCGTCTGGTGAGTTAGTGAGTGCAGGACCGTGCACTGAGTGAGTGTCACGAAGACGTGTCGTGACTTGACGGGACAAAATCACAAGCTGGAATCAATCGGCACTCGGTCGCCACCCCTGGACCCGCCAATCCAATCATCGGACACCAACAGAAAACTGATTAGACAGTGTGGGTTCATAGCCTTACTGTAGTTTGACTGATTTTAGTAGCTACGGTTGTATTATCCACGCACTAGAATTCTTCTACTTGCTCGGGAAAGCTTGATTATAGCTGGCTTGCTCTGCGGGTTTCTGGTGATAGTCCCCTTCGAACTTTATGATCTGTAGAAATTGAGTAAAACCCTTTGAGAGACAGGGACAGAGAGAGAGAGAATCAGCTCTAAGTCTCAGCCACCTACGGCCCCAACCTCTGGCTTCCTTACATCATCGATGTGTGTGTTTACTGTAAATTTCTCGATGGATGTGTATGGGGAACCTTGGCACGACACGTGTGACGGTGGCCATAGCTGAAGCATCATCATGCTAATCTAGCTGGTCCAGAGAGCGGGGAGTGATCCCTGTATGGATGATTGAATGCTCAGCGGGTATCCCGATTCTGTTAGTGCATAACCATCTGCTCCATCCCTCCCCATCCCTGACTTGCATCTAAAGGGGGTTTCAGATCGCCTACCGTGGGCACCGTAGCGGTCCTGAAAGCAGAGCACAGGTGCAGTAAGGAGGTGCTCCAGCTTCGCTGTGGGGTTGCCACTTCAATGGCATCGGTTGGGCCCAGGAGGACACCAGCGAATGCATGAGAGACAGATGGGAGACCGCCTCGTCTTCATTGCAGTGTGCTGCTTGTCGCCCCATCTTTCCAACATCCGTGACCGACCGACGCCCGAGTATTGAATGCCTTCAGAGTTCGTGATTGTGGAGATCGCCTAGGTCCACACAGCTCCACCGCACCATACCAAACCTCACACGACCCTTTTGTATCCGATACCCTCATGCTGGCAACGACACTTGTGATTGAATGTAACTCTCACTGCACGAGCCCCAAGCGGTGGCTGTCTGGCTGGCTGGCAGGCAAGCGGAAGCGATCTAAACTTTTTCGTGTGCACTTCCTGGTGGGAATCATTGTATTTACATGTCGTCCACCTCCAAAGCCTACGGTCATGAACTAGGTCATCGTTTCCTTGCTTTTCCGGGGATTTAATGTCTTTTTTCCTGTCTGAAAAGTCTGCTCTGTTCTTGTGTGTCTTCTTTACTGCATCGGGTTCGTCTCCAGCTTTGGAGGAGCTTTATGGCATCTTCTACAGCTTTTGCAGCCGTGATGACGTTTGAAGACACCTCGATTGAAATTGACGACTGCTCGTGGGTTTTTTACCAGGACGTAGAGCGGACTGTACTGACGGATGCATTCATGTCGATACGAAACTGTTTCGATTTACTTCTCTTTCCGATGGTCGGCTAGGAGCTCGCTGGACGAGGAACTTCAAAGTATAGATTGTGTCTTTAGCGCATTTATGACCCCTTCCCGTATCTACCTCGTTGCTTAAAGCGAGGCCGCTTACGAGAAGTCATGGTCGTGACTGGCAAAGTTTATGATTTTTCATTCATTCGAATGAAATTTGATCGTGGATCAGTAAATGCTCATCAGTTTCCGATCTGGTCAGTGGTCACTGATATGGTAACGGAGTTGAATCAACATGCAATCAACTTTCATCACGTGCACGTAACTGAACTTGTCCACTGGTCATGTTACGCACATCAAGAGAGTGACCTTATTAGTCCCAGAGTTTGTGCAAGCTCGTCGCACAAAATTTAGATAACAAATTCTTGGAGCGAACAGTGCACACGCAAGACTTCTGCGATTTGGACTTCTTTAAAATTTGCCGATCCTAATTTCAGGCATCAGTGCTCCTACTCCTGAGTAGGTTATTTCCCCTCGCAAATAGTTAACTGGACAAAATTCGAGATGCACGTCTAGTATCTGCAGTTCTCTCTGGACGATCTCAACCTCACTATTTCGTTAAGAAAAGCATCAGGTGAAGCCACAGGATAACAACTACTCACATGCAAATCACTTAACTTCGAGGGCTGATTTGACCTGAGCGCATCGATTGAACGCACGAGAGACACTCACCGACCTCACTATGATCTTCATGAAAAGCGTACGCACTAACATGGTCTATTCTGAGAACGAATCTACTCAACAAGAGAAAGCGGGTTGACCCGCTTTCTCTTGTTGAGTAGAGAAAGCGGGTCAAACACGGTGCATCTTAGTTATGCACCGGTTGTGGAAATAACAAAGGTGATGTTCCAGAATAGTGAAAATTGACTGAGCAAATGATGAGGCCCGGGTAGCTGCCACATGTAGAAAAAATATTCGTCTGATATGCGAGTCAGTGGAGGTTCAATCAGTGAATCAAAATGCACTCAAAAAAAGCTACCACTGATCGTAGTAAAATATGAACACTTCACAAAGCTGGCCTCATCGAAAGGAACGATATAATCAGAGACTCCGATTGTCTTTCGTTCGCCGCAGACGGAGTCTGCTTTGCCTCGTTCCATGTTATTCCCCCATGCACTACGTTCAGCTCATCTCTTTTTGCTCTCCTGCCTGCAGCTGCAGCAGAGTGAAACCTTGCGCTCATCTCCCCATCCTTACTTCTTTTGTGTTGCTGGAGTTCTCCTTTCACTCCTTCATAGCAGCCTTCCGACTTTTCTGGTGTTGTTGTTTTGGGAGGAATTCATTTTCCTTCTACTTCCAACCGCTTCTTTCATAATCTAGAGACATGGCGTACACTATGTTCGGTCAAAAAAGCTCGTGTGGTAAGTAGAAGATTCATCCTACTTTCCGTATTAAAGCCATAACGTAATGTTTCGCTTGAATTTTTGTTTTAGCGACCCTATGATCTAACAGTTTTCAAGTTTTCTTCATGTTGCCGAATCCCCATCAAGCAATTCTGAGGTACCCATCTCAGTTGCAGAAGAACGTGTGACGGAACACAGGAGGCCAACATTTGATGAAAGACACTCGATGTGTTTGATAGGGGGCGAACAGAGCAATAGTGCCCATCCATAGGAAATGAGCAGAAACAAAGTTCCGAAATAAGTTGGACTCGTTGATGGATTCTGTAGCATAATGAGATTGCCATGTTTTGTGCAGCATAGTGAGATTCTTCGTGTGCACGGCTCAAGCCCGTGGAACCAGATTAAGAACGTGAGTTTCATTTTTCCGGTTCCTAATCAATAAAAGGAGAGAGACATTGAGAGGAACTAAGCTTTGTTTGGAAACTCTTCAATGCTCTGAACTCCCAACGCCTGAGTGCAAGAGTGGGCACGCCATAACGCAAGATGATATGATAAATGGAAGGACCACAAGGTCAAAACTTGGACCTCAATTAGAGAAGCGGATATTCTTTAAAATCCGTACACGAATCTTCTTGGCTTCATGCTTTGAATTTGATGAGGGCCTTAGGTCCATTCAGAACCATGTGCATGTTGTTTGGGGAAATAATAGTGATTCGATATATTTGGCTACCAAGAATTAGTCCAGAAGAAAGTTGCTCAATTAGAGTCATGCGAGAATTGCCCGGGAAACCATGGAGCTATCTTTGACAGGCCCTTGTATAGATCAGAACAGTCTGGACAGCTTCACACTGTAAGCAATATTCTGCAAGCGAAATGGGCCTTCTTGTAATTGTGGCAGCCTCTCGGGTCAGTGGTCTTGGAACTCTGCCGGCTGCAACAAGAGTCATGTTCACACTCAAGTAATAGCAGAGCTTCAACTTGAGAGACTCTCATAGATTTATTCCCTCGCCTCATGAAGGGGATCAAACAACCACAGTCGGGTATTATGTTGCCGTCTAGCTTTATCATCATCCTCGTGAACACGCAGTGCCAACAGGAGGTGAACTTAACAGTGCTCTCTGTGGATTGAGCCAGTGAGCTCAAGAGATAGTTTGGTCAAACCTTGGAGGGCACTCTAAACTCAGGATATTTATACTGAAGTACACCTGAATCTTCACAAATCAAGGCAATGTACTGGAAATGGTCGAAGTTGACAAACGCTTCAAGTAATTAACTGTTAGAAGGGAAGATCTGGGTCAGGAAAGGAAGGAGATCAAACCTTTAGAGAGAATTTTACGTGGCCAAAAGGATGTAGTTTCTACATCGACCAACGATCTTATCTCAAAAAACAGTGAAAGGGCTCTCGGCATACCCTTTCCCATCTATTAGGTGATCTATCTGCTCTAGCAAAGCCAGTAGTCACTACACTCTTACTCTTTCATGTCCATAGATTTTGCAGTTGGCTTGATAAGGGTTATTGATGCTGTCTGAGTACCGTGTTCTCCACTGCATTGTTCGATGATTTGTTTAAGGGATTATCCATTTGGATTTATTCAGGTTGCTTCTAGGCTAGTTCATAACTACAAGCATGAAGCAATGAAAGACACCCAGAGGATTGTAGTAAGTTCGCCCACCGTTGAACCCTACTCCTGTACTGGAAAATGACAAGATGTTTTACCTTTTGGATATTTGACGTCTCACTTGTTCCTTTGCTGACTCTTGCATGATTGAAGCTAAGTGTAAAGGATAGTATCATTAAGAAGTAAAAAATATGTTATTGAAATAAGCATTGTCAAAAGAACAGGATGAGACAAACTTCAATGTGCAAAACACTAAAACAGAGAGATGGTGTTACCTTTATGACGGTGAGAGCTTTGCAACTCTTGTTTCTTGGCCTCCGTACTCTAAGCAGTCTTGAACTCCCCTTTAAATTGTATAGTTAATTGTATTCTTGAATGAAGTTGGTCAACAACTTATATTCAATAAAGCATTTGAAAAAATATCGTTTTTTAATGAGAATTATTATTACTTGGTCTTTCACTACCCCTATTTGTTTGTTTCTGATGATTTTCAGTCTATATAGGGTTCCTATAGTATAATATATATATATATATATATATATATATATATTCCAACTTACACATTCTCAAACATATGGTGCGCATGTACTTTACCTGTCCTTTCTTGATGGGGTTTACTTTTTCCAGATTCAAGTGATCCTGCACCACCACCGTGAAACTACTTTAGAATATGCATCTGATTACACCATTTACAAGATGAGAAGAGTGAAAAAGTTTTTAAAATCCCATCCTGTTATGTACAACTATTACATTTTAGTGATTTTCCACTTGACCCTAGTACAGCTCACGGTGACAACTGTTAAAAACCACGAGTTGTTGTGTTTCTTATTGTTACACGACAAAAGTTTTTGCACTATATTGGTTTTCATTTTGAGGAGTTTTGAATGAAGTATATGGAGCTTGTAACATTAGGGCTATACTTGGTGAAAAGAGTTGTGACCGATAATCCCCTAAAAGATAACAAGAACAAGTTCTACATTGAGATTTCATCATTCACAATTTCACTACCTGGAAAGTAAAACTGCAAGATGTGCTTGTGTAACAAGAATATTTGGCTGCATTAAGTGAAATCCTTTTCTATCGCATTTGAAAAACGGAGGGTGTGCATGTTAGACCGACAAACATTAATTTATCACAGCTTTTACAAGAGCTCTTGATGCAAGTTTATACCAAGAATGTCTCATGGATATGTGTAATCTATTGAACAAGGTGTAAAAGTAGAAATATTTTTCCATGCGGCTGTACATGACCTTGAAGCTACACAAGAAGAAAGTCTAATGTGGAACGTTCTATGATAATGTAGTATAAACCAGTCTACACAAAATATTTCTTATACAGTTACAGAAACAGTTGACATGCAAACTTCAGATGAATTTAGAAAGAGAATTGGTGACCTTCAGATTGTTACTGCCTTGTAGCTTTCCCGACTGCTCTGGAAAAAATCTAAGGAGAATCTATTTGAAAGGAAAAGTCCCCATTGAACTCACAGGAAAGGTATTATAAGGAAGTGTATTGTTGACAACTTGTCAAGAAGTGGATCTCATCCCTTTGAAAATTTTTCATAGTAGGGACTTAGGTCGTCTATAACATTTTCACTTTTAGAGTGTAAAGAGGTTCTAAAATTTGGAAGTAAGTAATGCTTCATGAAATCTTGTTGGGAATCCAATCCAATGTTGTTGCTTCAAATAACGAAGTGATTCAGTTATGGTTTGTACATTTGGATAGAG